GCCAGTCAAGAAGCAAGATCTCTTTAAAGAGGCCAATTTGTAGTCTCATGGTGTGTGGGAATGTTTTGCATGTCGCTGTCTGCCAAAATAATTTGTCAGCAGGGTGAAGACCTTCCGCTGTGCATCAGGTGTTAAGATGCAACAAAAGTCATTAAGAGCCCTCAATCTGAGTGCTTAGGGACAGGTGGGTGTGAAAAGAGGAAGCTAAACTCCCACCCAATCCACTCTGGAGATTTACATTTTAAAAAATGAAATCATTTGGTAATAAGTACTATAGGATGCAGTTCAGGATGTACTATTCTATTTCCATCACGCACTGAAGGAGCAGAAACACAAACCTGCTTCCTCAGATGTGCTGTTGATAAAACCCCTTTGCAATTCAGCTCCTCAACAGCACAAGCTGGAGACTTATTTCTGGAAGAAAACAAATGCTATCTCCACTGCACTCACATTCAAAAATGAAGTCTTACACAAACAAATCAAATCAAAATTCCAGTTCCTTCTTTTCCTGATTACTCCTAACAATGGGAAAAGCAAAAGACAAGGTCTTAAAACTCAGTATTACTGGTAAAGGGGTTGCCAAGACAATGTGTCTAGGATCTGTATGTACCAAACATTAATGACTGCTGCAAAAATTTTAATAAGTAACAAATATGACTTTTCTACATCCCAGTTCTGTGTAAGTGCAGCTAGACTTTGGCAGCAGTGACATCAAATCCTGCTAATGAATGAGGACAGTGGTAATTAAATGAGGTCTTCCATGAATTCAATAACTTAAAAGAAGAAATTGCTAAAAGTTCATGTTAAACGTTTTTCAGAGTCATCTGATTTTGTCTGTTTGCAGAGATCATTAAGATACAGAGGGCTGGAGCATTTCTTCTATGAAGAAATACTGAGGGAACTGGGCTTGTTCTTTCTCAGGAGAAGAGAAGGCTCCAAGGAGACCTTGCTGTTGATATGTGGTGACAATTTCCCTAGTCCTGTTTCTGTCTCCTCAGATGTCAGAGCAAAATGCCAGGATTTCCTCATGCACTTAATGGTTTCTGAACATATGAAATTCTCTATTCCCAGTTTCTGGGCCCAAGAGAATAAAACAATTAATAGCTGTCTTCTTTGTCAAGAACTGCTCCAGCAATGAGAGTCAGGGAAGGTTTACAGAAGCAAGTGGAGAAAAGGCTTCCTAATGATAGATAATTTTTAGCTTCCATCTAGAACATAAGCAAGATTTTAACTACTGTGACTGCATTACACTGACAATAATGAGAGCTTTCATAATACAAGACCGTGTCTCTCACTGAGGAGCATCAGTTTTTACCACTCAATCTTAGTGAGGAACTTTGCTTTCACTCAAAACAATTTCTTATCCACTTGCTACATACTTTAATTCCTTTTTTTTCTTCACATTCTTCAAAGTACTTTTCTTATTTAACACATATTTACCTGTCCCTGAAACATTTTCAGTACTCTTTACATCATATTTTCTCTTTGAGTTCTTATCCTTCCCTTCACTAAGACCTTTTTTACTACCAATTTTCTTGCAAGACCTAGAGAGTCAATTTAGGCAAGTCTTTCTCATGCTCCATTTTAAGGTAGCAAGAATGATGCCTTACAAACTATTTGTAAAAGTGCTTAAGAGAAAATAAGGGAAAGAATATGCACTTGAGCACAAATGGACACTGCTTTTTGTTAATTAATAATTCTATTTTAGGGACTATACAAGCATACGGTGAAAGTAAGATATGACCTATGCTGTCTCACAAACAAGACTTGCTCAAAAGTAACCACTACTCATGTAATGTCTGGGAAAAGACGTTTATACAGCTGTACAAATAGGCAGTTAAGATATGTATTTTACTTATATAGCTTAAGCTTGTAAACTAAATCTGAACTAATCCAGATTTTACTACCAAAACAGACTTCTTTGCTTATTTAAGAGCTGGCACTGAGTTTTCCAGTGCAAAAGTTTTGGAGAAACACTTGGATTTTTTCAATCCTTCATCAACTTCTCAACCTTCAAATGTTCAGTATCACCAGGGAGCTCCTGCACAACATGTTCAAATACAAGTGGCTTCAATATTTTCTTGACTTCTACTTCATGAGCATTCCTTTTTGTTTCTGTATGCAAGCTTTGATCCCTGATGTTCTCCCCTTGTACCACACACAGATTTCACTTTTTTTTAAAAAATAACAAACATCTTCTAACATCTGTACAATAGCACTGATTTTCTGGGCAATTATCTGGTTTTTGTGGTTGAGTTAAAACACTTGGCAGTCAGCCTTTTCCTGCTTCCCTCTTATGAACTAGATTATTATTGCCTCATAAAGCAGTGCCTGGGTGATATTGCTAGATAATTAATGTCTATTTAGTGTAAAGGGCTTCCAGCCCCTATAGGTGTTTTTTCTTCCTCCCTCTGACAGGGCCAGATGGCACTCTGGCCAACCTTCAACCACCCTTCACAAGCTATGCACTCAGTTCATACAATGCATCTAGCAGCTTTGTAATAACGTTTCCTTTATGTATGCTGAATGGTGAGATACTAGAAGAGTAGTTATTACTGCTGTAACAATGGGAATATAACAATGTAACAATGAGAAAATTGGTTATTTCAATTAAAAGACAGATTAAACATCTAACAAGGAACTAATCACTTTTTCATTTTTGTGTGTAGTTGTGTTGCTTGTTTGTTTTTTATTTTCTATCTCTCATCATATAACAAGTTGACAAACATAACTAGAAAGAGAAATGGTCAATAATGAACGGATGAAATAGGCTCTGAGTCAGTGGTCGTGCCCACTTCACTGCACCATTAGATCACAGGATAAATCAATGGTGAATCCACTCATGTTCAAAGGAAGAGTCCAATTACATGTTTCAGTGGAGTCAGTCCAGAATACTTGGCTGTTTTCAAGATCAAGCACCAGCATTACAAGAAATTGTCCTCCCACTGGTGCTGTATGCACCTTTGACACTGATTTGATGTTCCTTTTAATATACAACATGCCCCAGCTCCTGGCTACTGCATCAAGATGCTGATTTTCATGGTTTTGCTGTCTACTTATCAGTCAGTCACACATCAAAGAGTCTTTGGAAAGGGTAGGGGAAGGAAGAGCAAAACATAAAATATGATTGTTAGTTAAATGCCACCTGAAAATTAATTAACATAAAGCTCACCTGATTAAAAATAATAGTGTAAATAGTTTTCTCATAAAGATCACTTCCACAAAACCATTACAGTCAAATAACTTTCTACACCAAAAGTTTGTGATCAGCAACAATGTCACACACCAGAATGATTTTGAGAGCACATATTGTCTTCTTTAATTAATTGAAGTCTGTTAGCAAACTTTGTCTATTTAGTTATACTCCTCATTTCTCAGAACGCATTACTCCATCTTAAGGAGCTTGTATACAGCAATGTCAGAGACAATCTGAATAGCCTGCACCCATACTGTGACCAACTGCAACCTAATTTGCTCATAACATCTGAGGAGGGTAACTTTCAACTCATGTTTGAAAGGGAAATGACCAACCTCGGTTGAACAACTGAAAGACATTCTATCACAGCAAGTCCTACTCCATTTGCCCTACTGACAGAATATAGGATCTCATGCTTTGAATTAGATGTGGTACACAATAGTTCAGACAAATATAAAACACTGGTGACTCTCAAAATGTCCATGGGAAACTCTTGAGTGTGAGGAGGTGTCCCCTTTGTGCTCTGCCATATTCCTTTTTAGGGAACTTTACTTTAGAGAACTCGATAAAATCTCTCAGCAAGTTTTAAATGAAAAAAATTACCTGAAGAGAGAAATTTCTGTAAAGAACCTATGAACCACTCTCAGCTGCTAAAAATATAAAAGTACGCTAAGTTCCTTCTTTAAAATAGCAGATTATAAACCGCATTTAATTGGAAAGACAAGAACTCAAAAGCTTGAAAATACCAGAGCACATGTTATCTGAACATCATGCTCCAGCTCGGTAGCACACATACATTATGACAGTCTTCAATTATATTGATATGTACTACATTCTTCTAGTGGACTCTTTCTTCAATGTTTAAAAACACCCACTTATTATCCCTTTCTATTCTTTATATGCAGTACACAACCTCAAGGTTCATTTATACCCCACTATCAAAACTGTGCACGGAATGTAAAGTGATTAATTTTCTCCTAAGTATCTCCGACAGAGTTTTGCCTAACATCTGAGCTTCTTTGTGACCATGAAATTTACCCTCGCTGTGTTCCTCTAAGGTGAAACTGCAACATTATCTGTATTCCGTAGATGGGAAAATGAGTCAGATGAAGGAAGGCACAAACTTTCCATTTTAGTAATACAATCTGAGGGACACAGAAAGCATATTACTCACTTTCCAGCCCTTCGCTCTCTTTCAACATCTTCTTGCAATCGCCTCCCAGAAATACAGCCTACCTCAGTGCAGACAAGCATGAAGTGAGGAGCCTGTTGTCACTGGCCATATATGAAGTTTGTTTTAAATTCTGAATCATTCAGAAATTCTGTGGAGGAAACTGAGGAGAAAAGCTAGCCCTCCCAGAGCAGCTTTCAGCTGCCATAACTGTAATAATATCTTCTTCTCTCTATGGCAGTCCCCTGCCTAATCTACTATACAACTATCAGCTTTGCCACAAATGCGACAGTGACTAAACATACTTCAGAGCTTGCCCACCTGAATAATGAATAATATGCTCATATGAGCTCATAACTCTACTTTCTGGAGAGAAACAGCCACCATGTCCCTAACCTGTCCCTTCCCTCTTATTTATCTGGGCAGAAAAACAAAGACAAAAACATATAAATATTGGAAAGAAAGGAAGAAACAGAAATGAGCAGAAGTGAGGAATAAAAGAGAAGAAACAACAGGATTATCTGTTGTTTCAGCATGTCAGCGCAATACTTTAAATCTAAAGAAGGCAGTAGGAGTTGTCTGTGGTGATGGTGACAATATGTCATCAAGCAGAGAAATGCAGAGGGCTCTTACTGCAGCATATAGGCCTGGCTGGCGTCCTTTTGTTTGTCAGGTACCTCGTAGTGCGGGGAAATCTTGCCAAGGCCACTGTCACTCAGCATCCTCTTTCTAACAGCAGGGTTCCACCGATCTGATATTCTAGGAAGGGAAGAAGGAAAAACAAGGCTTAAATCCCAGAAATTATTTCACATGCTCTGCTTTGTAGTTCGTTTATGCTTGTTTATCCCCAGTATTTTTCAGCCTGTTGCAAGCTAGCTTAGATTAATTCACCATGATTAGAAGACTCTTCCTGAAGAGGAACAGGAACATTTCTAGTCTGCCTAGAGGACAAGCAGAAACAAAGACACTTCACGGTAATTCTAAGACTCAAAGGACTTCAGGGCCTCAAATATTTGTATCAGAGCCCTAACAGTGCAGAGAATGGTTTCATAACTTGATAGATACAGGTTTCATCATCAGAGGGTGGTAAGGCACTGGCACAGGCTGCCCAGAGAAGCTGTGGAGGTCCCATCTCCAGAGGTGTACAAAGCCAAGTTGGATGGGGCCATGGGTGGCAACACCACCCATAGTAGAGAAGCTGAAACTAGATGACCTTAAATGTCCTTTCCAAGTCTGTAATTATCACTGCTGCCCCTGATTCTGCCCCCAGATCTCACACTTTCCTGTACCTCCCAAGCTTTCAGCAGAGGGGATCAGAAAAGACATGCCAAATTCTGTTGTGGCTGCTGAAGGCCAAATCCCAGCACCACTCACCCAGAGGCCTGCTCCACTACCAGATCAGGCATTCCAGGTGGCGTCCCCCCCTGCTGTGACATTACCAGCTCTGGATCCAGAATAAAAATCTCGTCCTGCGAAATTTCCGTCACAAAGTGCAAATGTTCCTGTTGGAATGATATAATGAACAAATAATGAACCTGTGGCATCAGCGTTCACTCAGAAAGCCCAGCTAGCTATAGGAAATCTGGGAATACATCAGGCTGAAAAGAATTTACGGCACTTGTCTGTGTATTTAAATGCATACATAAACACACCGTCAAGTTAGCAATAAGCACTCCTTAGATTTTAAGCCAAACAAGATTCCCAGCCAGCAAGCTTCACACTCACAGCAATGCTTAAGAGGCTGTTGCTCAGTGACTTCTGTCCATCAACACTATTCCACTGAAAATTGGAGGCCTACCCAAAAAACTGAGTCTTACGTGTCCAGCTAAGAACCAACACCTAAGGTTTCAGATGATGGGATTTTTCATTGTTTGGAGATAGTCTCTAAAAACTCAATTGCTTGTACATTCCGGACTTGCATCTTCATTAACAAAGCTCTCTTTTTCAATTCCTCTTTTTGTTTTATTGGCACAGAAGTCCCCTTCAGAAATACTGAGCATGAGAAGGTCTGTCTAAGTAGGAGGATGGGCAGGATAATTTCCCACATTTTGTGCACAGGGACCATCACACAGTATTTTTTATTTTTTTTTTCTTATGGAAACACATGGCAAAGGAGTAGGAGGGAAAGATGACACTGTGCAGAGCCAGAATTAGAAAAATGCAGAATAAACAAAACGAAATGGCATTGCTTGGTTTAGTCTGTAGCAGCATCTTCTTCATCCTTACTTTCAAAATTTTCAAGTGCAACTTCATCAACGCATTTATATGACTGCATGCAAAGGCCTTTGGCAGCTACATGCAACACCAAACCCAAGGCTTCTGAGCTAAATTCACAGCTCCTTCTGACTGAAATAAACCACAATCTGCAGATGTTCATATAATTCAAAAACAGCTTACATTGTTCTCAGGGAAACAAGACGCAAATGACAAATGCGTAAGTCAACAGTTTACATTTCATGCTGAGCCACTAATTGGTCAATTCTGCCTATAAGTTGGGAAACATCAAAAGCTCTGTAAAATTTTCAAAGTGTCTTTCAGAAAATATATTCAGATTGGCAGATCTACACCATGGTTTGAATCTAGTGAAACGACGTGTTGTTTTGGGTTTTCTTGGGAATATTTGATACAGCTCTGTTTATAATTCTCGGCTTCCATCACACTCGTTTCTACAGTTATTTCTTGTCACACACATGACCAGGACTTCTGGTGTCTAAAAACATCAGTGAAAAGATAAAATCAAACACACTAATGTAGCACAGATACCCTTACTAAGATCTGATAAGGATGATTAATGTAGAATATACTGATTTGTGTATCAGGTTGGTAGCTAAAAAGAAAACCACATGATTAGCAGATACAAAACTTCAGTGAGCTCAGTGAAATGATGCAAATTATGTCTACTGAAAAATGGTCCAGAATTTTTTCTCTGCTTTTCATAAGAAATCATCAGCATTCTAGAGTGCACAGGAGCAATGGCAAATCACTTATTTTAAGATGTATCTGGCATGGCTTTAAAAAAGATCTACAGAAGCAGTAACCAAATAGAGATTTACCTGAGATCTGTCAATGCGGTAAAAACGATCAGCAGAAGTTGCTGCAAAGATAAATAAACAATCAGAAACAAAGCAAGTGTAAGCAGAACTATATGAACAAGATGGGCTGAGCTAGCATCAGCACCATGTAAGAAAACCTCTGTGTCAGTGAAGCCACAACACAATCTGATTCATTCATTATTTCTATAGTCCCATTCTACTGAAAAACAAATTTAAAGATGGGATTTAGCAAAACAGTATTCATTGAAGCAATTTACTTGAAATAATTATTTAAAACACAGACAAATAGGGTCTCAGATTTATATAAGAACTACTAATATTAAAATTCATGACAGAAAGAGCTGCATTCTTCCAATGACAGTATAGCAAGAACATCATAAAACTGATAGGTCCAATATGATTGATTCAAACAGTGAATCTAAAAAACAATAATATGCTTGGGAATTCCTTGTAAAACAAATGCTCAAATATTCAGTGTGAATTACTGATACACTCAAAGAAAATTTATTCTACTTGTGAACAAATTAAAGGAGGGAGGAATCACTAAACAAAGTACCTAATATGAATGTTGGCACTACTAAATAATATATATCGCTAAAAGCAGAACTATTTTATCACCTTCAATGTGCTTTATCAGATGTGATATTTTTGTTTCTGCTTTGCATTTAGTTTAGCCAGTGAAATCACAGACTTTTTTTCATTCTGGCATTTCTGCAGAACAGCACAGTGATATAGCACTGTCATTTTTGGCACTGCAAGGCAATATCAAACATCTAAAGACTAAAACTGAATCCATCTGCCCACCCAGCTTTCTCTAAAAATCAAATAGATCCTCAATGTATTTTCTGTCAGTTTTCCATCAATTCTATCATGAGAGATGAGGAGAAGTGATTAGAAACTGTCAAGGAGTAACTGGTTTTGTTTTGAGCAATAACAAAATCACTCACCCCCCATGCTGAAGCTTTTGTAAAAGCAGTTGACCATCCATTTTAGCTGCCCACTTTAGAGCTCTGGAGCCTGATGTAAAGCCCAGATAAGCTGCTCGATTTGGCGAAGTTTGAGTCAAATACAAGAGTTACATGAAGTGCCCCCTTCCAGGGGAAAGGGATTACATTTCCATCATCTTAATACTGCAGTATTTATGGAGAATGAGTAACAAAGAACATAACCCTGCTGACGGCAGTGTGCTACTACAACCAGATGTATTCTGAGTCCAGGTACTGCCACATAAGTGCTGCATCACAGCAGAGACACTAAGAAAACAAAACATCCAACCACCCTTGGAAGAACCCATCTCCTTCAGGAGATGATGCTATGGAAGACATTTTGATTGCTAGTTGAAGGCCCATTTTTCAGAAGGGAAAGGGGGCCACACAGCTCCCTTTTCAGCTTCTCAGCGCAGCAAGGAACAGCTTCTCCTCCCTGGTTGTACTCTTGGATGCACTGTCCTTCACACCTACACCATCAGCAAGCAGCATGCTAGACACAATCGGAGGGAGACACACTTACCATCTAGGAAGCACCATCTAGGAGAGAGCCTCTGAACAGAAAGTACTCTTGGGAAAGAGCTTTCTTGGTCCTGTATTTGTCAGAGAAGCAACATTAAAAAAAAAAAAGATACATATATATTTTTTTCTATATTGCACAATATGCAAAACCTGCAAAACCAAAATCCACTGGGTCTGCACCCCACTGACATTAGGTTTTTACTGTGCTATAGCAGAGCAAACCATTTACTCTCTATAAGTAAACTTTAAGCATACTCTCAGCTATCCTTTCTCGTTCACCTCAACAATATCAAAAAGCACTGCATCAGAAGCAGTTTTCTCAGATGTCTGAAGTCATCTTTATTTGTTGGGGTAGAAGAATAGGGAGAAGTGAAAGAGAAGATCAAAAAGAAAGCAATGAACTCGATTACTATGTTTGTATACGTATCACTTTCTCTTCTTCCAGAGTAGGGCATTACAGCCCTTCCCACCTCCATCAGTCTGCTACTTAGAACAAGTGCCCATATTGCTGTCCCTGGCATGTCCCTAATACACATCAGATTTAAAAACAAAAAGAAAAATAAAAAAAAGAAGCTGTTGTCTTCATCCAGAATATAGACAATGCAGAGTGCAGACCTAGGGATCATTGCTGGCTAAGGCATCAGACATCCCACATCAATGTGTTCCCAGTCTGTCTAGATAGACCTGCTTCTTGGGACCCAACTGATACTACATCAAGGAACCAAATGGCTGGGGAAGAACAAAGGGTGTTCCTTGTTTTCTCAGCTCTCACTGATCTGGAGGCAAGAGGGATCTCAGAAAGCAGAAGGTGGTCATGGCTCTGTGCCATGCTGCCAGTGGATGGCCAGCCAGATTCCTAAAGCTGTTGGAACACAACCTAAACACAAATAGATTTGCATAGGACAAAGCACAACAGCACAGCCTGTGGGCACCAACCCAAAATGTGCATAGAGCCAAATTCTGTCCTTAATTATAACTTATGCAGTAAAATCAGCACACCTGCAAATGACGTAAATTCAGGCACATATTCACTCAAGACTGAAATTTACTTCTCCTTAAGACAACAGAGTATGGAAGGCTATATCAATGCACAAAGTGAGAAAATGAGAAAGCAGAAGCAATGGGGAAGAAAGGTGCCTTTGAGAAAAGTACTGCTCTGCACAGGAAGTACAGTATATGATAAGACATATGGACATATATCCATAACATGGGCACAAGTGGTGAAAACAAACTGATAGAATAGTATCTCACTGGAACTTTTCTGAATATCATATAGATGCCCACCACCTTTCCTGACTGCAGGATGCAGGATTAAAAAAAAACAACCTGCACTGGGAATTGTACAGCTCTATCTGGTGAGTAGATATTTGAGAGTCTACCATCAGAAAGTAAAGACTGACTGAAAGAGTAAGCTCCAAAAAGAGATTTCAGTCAATCATGGGTTTTCAACCTGGAGGGATGACAGGGTTATGAACGATCAATATCTAGCATAATCCAGAAATCTGTCCTCCAGCTTGTGCTTCAAAGTCATCACTCCAGCCTGAACTACAGCAGACCTTTTAGAAAGGTATCTAGCGCAGGTGACAGACTCCAAGTGACACAAACACCACCAGTCCCTCAGGATGTTGGCATCACGTCCAGGGTTTTATACAAGAGTGAAACTGCAGAAATACTAGCAGAGTTGAAATGACAGTATATGGTGCATCATGCACACCCAACACATCTGGAACATTCATACAGATTCTCAGAGTTTTAAAGTTTGCTATATTTTCTTCTGCCTTTACTGTCTGTTGTCTATATCATTAAGAAAACCTAGAAGGGGTGGTTATTTCTCAGCAATTTATCTTACTCTTTTGCAAATCTGACATATTTCTAAAACACTTCTTATCCATGTAGCCATGTGTCAGAAAAAAATTCAGAAAGAAATAAAGAATATATCCATAGAAAAATGGATGTTTCATTGGTTCAACTTCCTAGACTGCCCAGATGTGTCAGTAAGACTGTGAGGAAGAAGCAGGTTGCTTTTTCTACTGGGAGAAAATCTCACAGAATGCTGGAGGAAGTTCTCTTTCAGTCTGGGTGGATAAAATACTGTCCAAAATGATTAAGTACCAAACAATACCATCCTATGTCAAGAGACAGACCTCACTCTTCAATCAACATAATAGTATCCAACATTTTTTGAGCTCTTTGAGAAAAAAATGAGGTCATGCTGCTGTTGTACACATACACAAGTTCTTGGTTTCCTTGAATTCCTGGTCAGCTGAGTGCTTGCATGCACTACCTGTCATTTTCAAGCAGCTGTGATGACAATTAGGACTTCACATTCTGATGGATATTCCTTCGCACAGCCATGTGAATACATCTCAATGCCTTGCAAGATGCCACTGTGAAATCTTTAACAACTGTATTTGATATCATGATAGTTTTTCATGATTCATCTTATTAGCTTCTACTGCAATTGAATGGAACTTCCTATTATTGCTTTTCCTTTCCAGTTATACTGCACAGAAAAACAAAGACAGCTCGGGGAAACCCATGTCATCTTCTCTGTGCCTTAAGATTTTGGAGTGCTGGCAATGAATCTTGTCTGAAATGTTACTGCAGCCACTTACATATTTTGCTTTTATAAAGAATATCTTTTGATCCATAATACCTGCATCTGTATCCAGTCTGACAAAAATCAAATCTCAGTTCCCTCCCATATTTGCACTCATTGATTTTGCTTGATCCCATAAACTGTCCTACTGTACAGAGTTTGTCTCCAATTTATGTGCAATACAGGAGAGATGAAGACAGTATAACATTCCAGAACATGAACTATTTCTATAAATAGTTATAAAAAATGTATATTGGTAGTTAAACTATCAGGTTTAAAATGTAACAATTTCCTTCTCTAACGTGAGTTTATGGAGTTGTGAGATGCTTAGGTTTACTTGTATCATAACTGTGGTAGGAGAGTCAAGGACTTTCTAAAATCTGCTACATTTGCTAATTTCTATTTATCTAAATGCACAGAGCTGTATGTATCTTAACATTTAGCCCACTGTCTGAGGAAAGGTTAGAGCTGGGATACAAAGGGAGGAAAGCACTGAAAGATAAGAATGCATACAAAAATGGCAGATGATGAAAAGAGGAGAAGTGAGTGAAAGTTCTTATACCTGTCAGAGTACATAATGCTGGGAAAAGGAAGATAGGGATAATGCTGGCAAATACAAAATCAAGTCACAAATTGCATAAGCTCTTTCCAAGAACCCATTATAGTTCAACAGCAGAACTAGCTTGGGAGGTCTCAGACCCATGAGAATAATATTTCATATACATTAAACTTGTTAGAGAAAGAAAGCAGAATGAAGAACAAGTCTAACATCATTTTTCGCATTTACACCCAGGCTTGCTGATATTATTTCTGCTGATTCCCCATGTTTTGAGTTGCAGAAGCATCACGCAAGAAAATCATGTTTATGAGACCTGAAAGTACCCATGACACCTTATTAGCAAGATAAGACATTTCCATCAATTCAAGAACCTTTTATCCCCTGTTCTCCCCCCTTTGGTAATTTATGGATAGATGCTAACAAATGTGGAACGAACCACAAACTAACCTAGCAAGACAGTTCATAGAAACGATCTGCTAGGAATAAAGCAGCATTTGAAGAATCCAGGACAAACAAGTACTGAAGACAAAACTAGAGGGGGGCATTAAAAATACAGCATCATAAAAAATTAATAGCAAGTGAGGGATTTCACACTGATGTGCACTAAAGGAAAAGGCTAGGCAATTAATTTCTATGCTGCTGTAACTACAGAGGTTAGGGCCAAGTATGAAGCTGGTTTCTGACATTTCATTCCCTATTTTGTCCCTCCCCATATGCACATATTTAGTTCCTCATTTTACCTCAGGCAGTTTCCTACACATGGAGCACTCAGCAGCCACTTAGGTTAATTTATAAGGAATGGTACAGAATAACACAAGCTGTTTTATTAGCCAATTCACTAGACGCTAGTGCTGTTCTAAAACTCAGTCCTAGGGCAATGATTGACACAAATGTCAAAACTATGAGGTTAAAATTGGACACAGAAGTGCAGAAGCAAACTACGTACTGGTATGAAGAAAGCAACTTCAGAAAAAGCATGCCAAATTTACATTTTCTTGTAGTGCCTTCCTGAATACAGCACATTACAGGCAGTCCTGCTAAACTGGAATTCTGTATCACCCAGGTAATCACTAAGGCCCAAGAAATCATCTGCAGTTTCACTACAGTAGGTTCCCATCAGCTGGATCCTTGCATTTTTTCTCAGTGAACTCATTCCTGCTGATCCTAACAAGACTTACATTGTTAAATCTAGGAAAAGGCTATCAACACCATGCACCTTGAGTCTTGTGGTCCTAGGCACTTTGTCAATTGACCATTGTTTGTGTCAAGTCTCCATGCTAATGCCAAATTAGCTCAGGAGTCAGTAGATTTAGTCTGAATTATTTTACTCCCAATGTAATCATGCTGCAGCACAATATTTTACTGAGAGCAATACATATTTTCAAATGCTTCCAACTGTAAAGTCAAGTTCTGTATTGTATAAATTAAACAATATAGCTGCAAAATGCACAAAGAGCCCAGTTTTAAAAACTAGCCATCTAAAAAGAGAATGGTCTTGCCACATAGAAAGCGCATATTTGTGTCCAGGATGGATTAAAAAAACTACTCTGAAGATTATGTTAGTCAAGAGGAGAATGGCTGTGGTACAAGTAATTATTAATTGGTTAGGTTTGCTGTACATTTTTCTTCTCAGTGGTAGGTAATGCTGCTTCATCTATGCAATACAAAAAAATTACTGTTCCTTCTCTCAGAGAAACATCTTTTCTTTTGTCACTTATTTTAAAGGATGCATTCTCTCATTTGCTTCAAGAGGCAATTTTAAGGATGATTCCATAAGGTTTGCAAGGAAAAGAATTATTTCAGGGAAATCAGAATGAGCCTCCATCATCTGAGGGGAAATGGCAATCAAAAATTCCTGTAAATCTGCATTCAAATGCGAACAGTGTAGTCCACCTGGTTAAACTTGTCTTTGTTCTTCATTTACTAAATGAAGATTTTAAAATCTTACCTGGTAATGAACTCTCTGTGTAGTAGAAGTTGCTGACTGTAGGTCCTAATAGGATGAAAGATATGTCAGTGATGAAATGTTTAAATCAGCAGAAGTTATTGCAGTTCTACTATTTGAAGTGGCTGGCTAAACATCATAGAGTAATTTTGCAAATATTTCTCATTGGTTTTAAGTATATTAAAAAAAGCCACAAAATAGCCAAGGAAAGCTCTCTTAGTTTGCATTTACATGCATCTGGTAAAAATCAGTCCAGTTTTAAAAATTTATACAGAGATTATGTTAATGACTTTTTACCTTATCACAGATCTATTTATATATCACAGATCTATGAAAACTATTTAAATTTAGAATATCTGCAGCAAAAAGAAAAGTAAAAAAAAAAAGCTAAAAGCCTTAATATTGTCTTTTGTAATAATTTCTGAGTAATTAATACACCAAAGAAAACCCCTGGTATTTTTCCAGGTTTAAAGACAACCTCATGCCAAAGAGGTCATCTCAGTGTTGCAAACTTCATCCCAACTACTGTGTTGTAATCTTCCATTCTCGCATGAAAATGGGATGAATGAGGTCCATAGCTCCTGTGCCAACTGGGACAGCCATTCAGAAACTCATGTAAAGGCACCACATTTGTAAATGTTTTTGAAAGATATCACTACAAGTTTATGAAACAGTGAGAGGCACTCTATTAATGAAAATCCACCAGTTTTATCACTAAATGCACACACATTTAAAATTATTCATGTAATTGGGCATTTGGATTCTCAGTTTCCCAGGTTGTACTAAGAGTACCTTCCAGAGACAAAGCATTCAAGAAGATAACAGCTACATTCGTATTAGCTGATAAGCATATATTCTTGTATTTTTTGAAATATCAATTTGATATCTGTAGTGTTTGTTGGAGTCTCTGTTTACTCCATGACTGTATTAGAGAATAATATTTGCATAATTAGATCCATTGAAATATCATGATATTTATCCTTACATAATACAGTTTGTAAACTAATTTGCTCAGAAATTGGTATAAATGCAGCAACAAATGCAGAGAGTGCATATATTCTGTTCAATTTCAAGAAGAAGCAAACACAACAATACACATCAATTCCTCTATAATTTAAATGGTTTCAGCATGATTTATTTTTTCCTGTTTGGAAAATAATGTTTTGTGTTACTCTGTTTTAATAGCATATCATAGCTCTAAAGTTTTGTTTTCAGCATGAGGCAATACACAATACTCACAATACGAAGTTGTTGCAATCATTAGACCTATACACTGAGGAGTGGAAGGAGCATAATACAGATTAATAAATGATACTTAATTCACAAAAACCTTACCTCTTGTAGACGGTCAATATACATACGACAGGTCTCCAAGTCACAATCTCCTCGAACAACTATAATTCCTAATGGAATGGCTGGAAAAGGAAAAACACAGAAAAATGTCTTTAATTGAGGTCTGTTGAATTTTAAAAGATTTGCAGTATGTTTTGTTTTGTTGTTTATTTTCTTAACGTCCTCACTAAAGCTCTCTGCTTACTAAATCTTAACAGTCTCTTAAAATCAGGAACATAATATTCATCGTTCGTCTTAACCATTTGTAATTAATTATCAAATATTCTAACATTCAACTGCCTTCCATTTCATACAAGCTAAAAGAGATCTAGTAAAATTGTGTACTTCCTTATCTGATGTAAACACCAATTATTTTTTGCAAGGAAACGTACCACAGAGTATTTCATTTTCAAAACACTTAAGATTCTACAGAGATGATTTAAAGCTTTTACATTCCACCAGGATTTTGTTTTAAACAGTATTTTTGGGATTTCCTTTTAATCCTCTGGCAAACCTCTCCTGGAACTCTGTTACTGACACCAAAGAATAGGGCTGCTTCTGCTTTCCAGCCTTAGCTTATTGGTTTATTGACTTAAAATTAAAGAGGTATTTATTTATTACTGTATAATGAAACCTTTACTTCAGCAGGAGAAAAAAATGATGACAATAAACTGCAGCATATTAATTCACTACATTTTATGATAGGATTTAAGGAAAAAAAGCATACTCAGAAGGTTATCGGCTTCAACTTTATATCTCCAAAGTAAAATTACATCCACAGTAAAAGCAAATAAACAAAGTTACAGAGTATCCCTGAGGTCGCAGTCTAACATAGGAGAAAACTAATGTCATGTTATTTTGATGTAAGTGTGCTTTTAAATAAAAACAGGCATTGTTCCATTTGCACACAAAACTTACACATGTCCACAGTGTCTTAAAGGAAAAGAAAGGGAAAGGAGGAAAGGAGGAAAGGAGGAAAGAAAAAGAAAACTTGCAAAAAATATAGCAAATAAGTCCCCTCAGTCAAAGGTAGCATTTCAGATAATGAGGAGTTTAGATTTCCACAACTATTCTTTCAGACTCTAGGTTTTCTTTGTTAAAAAAAAAAAAAAAAAAAAAAAAAAAAGCAAAGATGGGAGAAAATGTACACATGAGTCTACTAGGAAGATACCAAGAGAGCTGCCTGCTAAAATCTTTTTAAATAGAAAGGAAACAAGTACGAAAATTCTTAAGCACATGAATGTCTGAAACTGAATCATAACATTATTTTCTTCTCCCTCAAGGGTCTTTAGTCAAACGTTGCCCCCAAAAGCAGGGAAGCAGCAGGAAATGGATTTAAATCATCATATGAAGTATTCCAGAGGGAGAGAAGAATATCAGCTCACAAACAATTTTGGTAACTGAATAACAAAAAGCAACTTAATGTCATTGACATTACTGAGACATTACAGTACTGAGACAAACAGAAAGAACAACTGTGCTGCAATTCCTCATATCACTCAAGGGGGGTTAACTAAGAGTGGCCCTGAGATGCTTATCTGTTGGGAAGCTCTTCATTCTAATAAGGGAACAGGTTAGTGATAACACATAATGGGGAACACTTCCATGGCTCATTTTCCTTGTGGCCCACCAAGGCTGGAAGCATAATGAGAAATGAGTGGTCTCAAGGAGAAGACAGGAAGCAGCTACAAGACTGAAGGGCATAATGGAGCTCAGAGGCCAGTGAAGGGCTCCAAAGATACATCACCAGCTCTGTCAGCATCGTGTTCAGAAAGCAATGTAAACAGCAGAGCAGATATGACTCTCAGAAAACCAGAAGCAGAGAAAGGAAAAAATGGTAGGGAGGGAGGAAAAAAAAAGGAAAAGAAAGAAGGGCTAAAAAGGAAAATGAGAGAAGCAAAGCCCATGCTACTTATCAAATAACGCATCTAACAGTAATCCCTATCCAGCTTGTTTTCAGAAAGCCTAGCAGACAACACTGCTTATTGCAACCTCCAGGGTTTTTTCATTACTCAACAGAGCTTGTGAGACAAGTTAAGTGGAATGAGGGTCAATGGTCAGGTCTGCTTTATGTATACCGACACTCTGAGTTACAGACTGATTCCCTTTACTTTGTGTTTGCTGGTGCTTAACCTGCTCTGACAGGAGACCCTTATGCTCTTGGCAACGAGCACTTAATGACCATCTAGTTTTAATTCAGTAAATCCCTCTGCAGCCCTTATTGAAACGGCTAAGATTTTTTAGAGCACTAAAAAGTGAATTGTAGCAGACATGACTATATCTCGAACAGTTTCAGAGCACTAGGGAGAAACAACATTGGTTCATAAATTGTCACCACACATTTTGTCCCTTTTTGTATTGAATAACTTCCTTCAATTTAACAGGGTTCAGAGCTTTAACCCACTGAAACTTTGGAACTAACACAGAATGGCAATCCTTAATCTCCACCACTGCTGGTAGCCCTGAGCAGAAGGACCTTATAAACACTGGGAATTCTAAAGAAATTCACCAAATCACCTGTAAAGAAAACACTAGTATGCAATAATAGATGGCTGAGCTGTGACACTTCTGAGCCTTATCTGCATCATTACAGATGAAGATTATAATCCGTTAGTATAATTAATTATCTACATTTTGTACATCATTTATGTATAATTTGCTCTTAAAAAGGGATGTGTGACTTCTACTGCCTGGAAATCCTGAACCAGTACATCTGGTTTTGTGGGTCAATGGCTAGCTAAGGGATAAGGTATGTGAGGTAAGTCCTGTATGGTTCTGTCCCACATGCTTTTGTTCGATTAAAAAACTTTTAAAGTCATTACTGAATAACATTACTTCATATGCTAAAATGTTACTTGATAAACATTAGTGGGGTGTTTTGTGTTGTTTACTCTTTGTTGTTGTGAAACTCATTTGCCTTCCAGCAAGTGAAATGTTTCCAGCCCTCACTTGTACCATAAACCACAGTAAGCATGCACAACACATTATACAGCCAAGATTTTCGAAGTGCCTCAAAACAGCAGCTTTTTGAAAACCCTTCAAGCCCTTACAGATTTAAACTGCAGGACTGTTGCTTGTTCTAAACATAGGGCAACACTGTGCAGTGGGGCCAGAATCACAGAACCATTAAGGTTGGAAAAGACCTAAGATCATCTAGTCCAAGCATTAAATGAGGTAAGTTATGGTGAATCAGGTAAAGACGTAAGGTTAATGTGCATGCACCGCTTGACATGGAATGTCATTGTAAACATTTTCATTAGGGAATTAGTGGACTTCTGGCTTTTTTGAATAGCCCTGTGTGGATAAGGATGTGAGCAGCAAAAACCAGTGCTGTGGGACACAGTGATTACTGGATATGTTAGGTGAAAGGTGGGAGTGGAAAACAAAATTTTGCAGTTTTGCATGTATTAAGAGCACAAACAATGCAGAGCAGCTTTCCTAGACACCCGCAGATTATCCACTCCTGTGACAACACAGACATATCCACGTATGGAAATATGCCAAACACAAGATAGTCTCAGACAACAGGCCAAGCCACAGCATTCAGGAGACAGATTTTTTTCTCCTGAGGCGCCTGCTCTTCTGACTGCTTGCATCTAACTCCCAGCTTCTTTGTGTTCCCTGAATGGTGAAAAGAACTTTATCCAGGGAGCTGTGGATACGTACTCTAACACTGCATGGATAAGCAGCAGTGCAAGAACCCCAGGAGATGAGACAGCCAGGCAGTTGCTTCATATTCTGAACCAGCACTGCGGAAAGTTTTTTGTTCCTAGCATTGCTGACTGAAATCAAGAGTCAGCAGGAGGAGTGTGAGGTAGACGCAGCAATATGACTAGCGTAATGCTCTAATAACTTCAAGATTAGTAGCACTTTCTTAAGCTCTCATGAAATTACCTACGGAATTTATGTAAACAAAGAAGAAATCTTCTATTAAGTGCCCATTATGTTGAATACCTAAAGCTAGTGAACTCTTCAGCAGTACCAAGAACACTGCCTGAACACTGCATACTAAACCATCAAGAAAAATTCAATTAACTTCCCCATTTATTGTTATGAAAGTATTCAATTTGTGATCTAAACATCATGATTAACCCACTCAAATCTCAAATAAGACAGCCTCAAGGCAGATCATTAAGGTAGATATGAACGCCAGAAAAACTCATTCCAACACTGACATATACCTCAGGGGAATGGGGAGATTAGACATGGGGCTGTAAATGTTTAATGTAGCAAATAAAGGATCCTCACTACTGGAAATGTTATAAAAACATCATTTTCCTGAGGGTTTTTTGCTGATATTAGAAATGTGAAGAGCCAAGTAAGTTCTTGTGAGAGAATTCTAAGATATTCAGACACTTAAATTAAGAGATTTCTCCACTGTGGTTTTAACACAACTAAGTTTCTACAAAAGGATTTTTTTTCCAAAATAAATCTATGCCATACATCTCCTCAGATACCTTTCATTTATTCTACTGACAGAATCAAAGCCTTCTTTGGTTGCTTGGCTGGTTATTGGTTTTTTAATACTAGTGTTTCAGTACTAAAATCCTCATATATCTGTGCATAAAATGTAATGGATGTTACCAGACTGAAAGAGCACATTTGAGAGAGTGGTCATCCCCTCCTGAATGTCAGTTCTCCAACACACAGACATAGTAAAAAAAAGCTGTCTGTCAAATGCGAAGGGAAATTGTCCCAGATACCAGATGAAAAAGAACGGGTTAAAGAAAGACTATTAAAAGTTTGGAATTGAGACTGGTAAGGAAGAGATATTGGGATTAAAAGCTGAAAGAAGAGATCTGGCTGAACAATGCCTAGGAATTTACAATTAAGAAAAAGAACAGGAACCTGAGCTGTAAGATCTATAGAGACAAAGATGAACAGGGAGAAAATGAGTGCTGAAGAGGAATAGGATTGAAAACGTAAGAAGAAATCAGACAAGGAAAGTGATAGAAAAGGAAACAGCAGAAGAGAAGTATGCAGAAAAATCTATGCCATAAAGCCAAATTAAAATGTGTTTTCCTGGAAGGTCTGGAATGGAACATAATGCTTTTGTCTCTCAGTCCAGTGGGGTCAATAGGCT